TTTTACCACTTCTCAGCTTTGATACCCACAAACTAAACATGATTTTGACTTCAAGCAAATGTTTGCTAAGCCAGCAAAATGCAAAGTAAGCAAAATTCCTAAGCAAATCACTAACAGCAAACAAACTTCGGCGGCATAAGTTCAAGTAGTGCTCCATGCGCCAAATCAAACGGCACAATAATATGCATCAGTTACCATGAATATTAACAACATTCAAATGCAACATACAACATATAGCAGCACAGGACGTCAAACACGAAACATACGCATTGATGACATTTGATCGACAGTTGTTTAGGAACGGATTTTGAATAAATTTTGCAAAGTGCGGGGTTTAGATTAGGACTCCCATCACCGACTCCCAGAGCAGAGAAATGAATTTGCAAATGAAACTAAAATCCAGAAAAATACCCACAACAAACTTGGATTGATAGGTTCTAAATCCAATTAAATTGACGGCGACATGTTGCTCAAATGAAAACATTTTTGAACGTTTTCGGATTCGGTTGCAATTGTACGTGAGCTGCCATTTAGAAATGAGCTTTAAATGACAACCAACTTTTAGAATCAATTTTCGTGAATGGGAGAGCCAAGTGCCGGCTTCTAAAAGGCAAATGCTTTGCCATTAAATGCAAGTGGCTATGTGTGTTCATTAGGAACACATCAAACTGACAAAAATTTGCTAGCATATTTTTGATGTTTTCATAATTCAAAAATTCCAAATATTTAGGCAACATTTAGTGCTTCCGGCAAGGACTTCATTAAATTTACATAAATTTATTTTCCTTTTCATTTTCCACCATAGCAATCTTCTAGGGCCCATTTGCTTGCTAGTTGCTGCCAATGGACCCAATATTTTTCATAGCCAGACACAGCTGTTGAGAATGTTGTACCACATTTTGAAAATTATTATAAATTGTTTTGCATACAGAATAAAAATAATGCCAACAGGACATGTTTTGTAGTAAATTTACTACAATTTAGTTGACTGGAGATACCCAAAAAATATCCAAAAAAAAATTATATTAAAAATAAAAAATTGCCTTGTTTTTTGCGTACTTGTATTGAGCGATGAAACGCAAAGGGGAGCTGTGAGTATGTCGAAAAAATGCATAAAAATATAAAAGTCCTTTTATTTACTACATTTTTGTTATTAAATTTATATTTATTTTGTAAATATTTTGGTTAATGGTTTCATTAAATCACAAACTTTTTAAAGGGCATTCGTTGTCAACAAAAAATCGTTGACATATTTTAAAATAATTTTTATTTAAAAATTGATTTAAAACTTTTTTAAAACCATTTCATCACACAATATTTATATGTATATGTACGTATATATATAAGAAAATATGTACGTATAAATGTGTCTAAGTACATAAGCCAATATATATTCACAAATTTAGTTATGGTTGACTAAATGAATATAATTCGTATTAAAAAGGTTTCTGTTGACTGATATTCAGTACACAAATATCAGAATAAACAATTGCGAAGTGCTTAAATTTATAATATCCTTATAAACTAAGATTAGATAGACTGATAGTTTTAAGATTATGTATTAAAGATCATACCAATTGAAACTGTTTTTTTCTTGTCAGTAGGTGGAAAGGCACCATGTGAAATCTTAACTCACTGAAACCATTCTTGAAAATGAGTAGAAAGAACATAGCCTGTTAGACTGTGAAGGTCCAATACTATGAAAGAATAATACTTTGTTAGACTGTGAAGGTGCATTATATTACGAAGCTTAACAAATTTCATTATTTTTGGCTTTTTTTAAGAAAGTAGAAAATGTTTGAAAGAGGTTAGGATATAATATTAAGCTATCTATGACATCGAACTCTAGTACTTTAGTCTGAGTCTTGAGTAAACACTACAGAAGCATGGAAAATGATCCATGATATCAACTTCTTTCATAGCATGTGAACATATTAGCTGTTATCAGCGACATATAATCGAAAGTAGTATTTGGCAGGTTATATCACTTGAGCTTTAAACGCATCTTGCTTGTTACGTAGAATTACGATAATTCTCCCTTTCCATTTCAATTAAAAATTCATTTCACGGCTTTCAAGATTTTTATCACTTCTGCTTAAATGACAGATGCGTGCATATCTAAGACAACCCGAGTCCTTTTCATTTATAGGTAAAAATTCGTAAAAAATAATTAGTTTTTAACAAGTTATAATCCTGCAATCGATGATTGCTAGTACCGTTGATATCCCATGCAGAAGGATATTTTATACTGGTGGAAATTTTCAGTTTTTTTTGCTGTAGTATTTAAGGCGACATTCATATCCACAAAATTCGTATTTATAAAGTTCAAGATTCATTTATTATATATAAATATTCCAGCTAGAAATATCTCAAGTCCTTCTTCCCACACCAAATACTCTTGTACTCATTATATTCTTTCAACACATACTTTATAATTTTTACCAGATAGTAAATATTTTAAGATTTCGAACAATAATAAAGAGGCAACAACAAAAATTTGATTAATTTATTAAAATTTGGCTGACCAGCGCTGTTGCGAGTATTGCCAGGTACTCATCACCAGTGATTTTAAAAAATATTCGAATTTTTATTTTATTAGTTTATAGTTCATATATAATTTGTTCGACCACAAGTGTCAGGCTTAAAACTCATGACTGACAAATTAGAAACGAACACTATTTGTGTTTTTCCACAAGTGGTCCAGGCTACACAAACTTTCAATGTTCAAGTTCCAAATTATTTGGCACTTTTTTTGTAAGTAACATAATACCTGTAACTTGACAATAATTATCTGCAACCTTATCACAAAAAAAACTGACCAGATTTCACTATATTGAACAACACATCTTCAAAAGACAACTGCGGAAAATTTTTATGCCTGAAACTAAAGAAACTGTGCGGTTGAAGAACTCCATTTTATTATGTATAAAATATTGTGCAAACAGAAAGCCGTCTAATCTATATAATAAAGCTTAGCAAGACACTAAACAATTGGAAGGATATAGCTAAACAAGAAACTCCAACAATTCCTGAACTACACAAACGAAAGAAAATATTTTCTACTTACCAAAAAGATAACCAGAAATAGAAATAAGTCAGTGATTAGAGTGAGAGCCTCTTCTTAATTAACAAACCCGTAGACATGTTGCATATGTGGTTTTTTAATGGACTGCAATGCTATCAATTACGTCTCTAACTAGTACATTATAAGTTCGAAGATCTCTGCGATACCATCTTGATAACAAGCACTGCAATTTAACACAATCTAACCCACATTTAATCTATTGAAAACTTATAAGACTAATATTTCTACTGTTAAATACCGATTAGTACAAACTTCAACTTAGCTTAAAAAATATTGCCACAAAGAATTAGAATGTACAACACTTAAAGGAAAATCAACATCAGATTTCATTTAAAATTTACAATTTCATCCGACAAAAGCACTTATCCACTATTTTCAGTCAATGAATTTCAGTCACTCCGAAATTAAAATAAACACCGAAGTAAATTCAAATAATAACAGACAACATTTCTTCAACTACCAACTCAGTCCGCTATTTTTATGTACTTCACTTGTCACTGCAGCGCTACGTTGAAAGTAAATAAACACTTTTGACGCCTGAAAGTATGCAAGGTATTTACTAAATTTTCATTTGAACACAATAAAATAATAAATTTTTTGCAGATATAGTAGATATCCAAAAAGTCATCAAAATTGTAAAACCGTAAAATTCTAAAAAATCATAAAAATAATCAAAATAGAAAAAATTAATGAAAGTCAACGAAATACAAGATAAAAAATTGATGCGGAAGCTCTTTCCTTTTTTTATTTACGGAGTAAATCCATTTTAATGAATTCGTCTGCAATAAACTTCATTGTCAATGCCACGGGATGTTGTGCTGATATTCGTATTTTTTGCTGACAGGATACGAACTTGACTCTCATTTCTGTGCTTTTCAAGTGCTTGGCTACAGTTTATTTTAGCTCAGCCTAAAATTCACAACTTTTTTTCATTTTTATTTGTATTGCATTAGTTCAAAGCCACTGACCCTCAAGTCTGTTGAAATTTTTTCTTCTGCAAAAACTTTGCCGGTTTACTAGCAACTTGGACCAAATGCTGCTGAATTATTACTCAACCGCGGAAATGAGTTTCATTCCTTTTTAAGTTACTTTAAAAATTCACGCCGAATATGCAGGCAACATACAGTGCCGGCTCCTGTTTCTTACTGCTATTTTACTGCATTTATCTTTTGCCACTTAAAGAAACTACAAGTAACAGACTCGTTGCATTAATACTAAGCACCCGTCTCCTTACTTATACCGGCTGCCGGTATGCGGCAGTAGCAGCCATTTCCGTTAAACTGTAACTAAACCGCACACGAATTGGAAAGAAAGTAAGCTCCTTTCTGAATGCAGCTTCCAGTAGCAGGTAGTGTCGCATTCATGTAAAAACTTAACGTTATGCTTTTATATCTTTTTTTTTTGTACTGTTTTTGTATAATCTTTGTACTCTGTTTTCTGTGGTTTTTGGTAATAAATTCTTGGTACAGGAAATTTATTTGCCGCAAACGTCTGACTCCGTTAGTGGGCGTTTAGTAGAAGCAACGTATACAATTGCGATTTTGCGATTGCAATAGAAAAAAATGCATTGGTGTCCTTAGTTAAGCTAGCAGAAAGGTGTTTAAATTTGATGCTTAAATCGAGGATTTTCTACGTTTTTACTTTGCACGCTCCAAGATGTTTTGCCTTTAAAAGTTATATAAAGTGCACTTTTTGGATTATCTGGATTTGCGTAAATATTTGTTCGTTCTTTTAGTATCAGTACCCTGAACTTTAAGTGCAAAAATGTTAAAAGTAGTTTAAGAAGTCTTAAGTTAACATGTATACTTGTACAAGGTTCTAAGTCAATTCAAGTCCAATTTTAAACTAAAGAGTCCTTTTATATGCCTTTAATAAATTGTTAAATTGAAAAATCCACTTAAGAAACATTTATAATATGCAACTCTCTTTACAGGTGAAACGTCTCACAATGGGTCTACTACGCACAAATGAAGAATCTCGTCCACTTGTAAATAACATAACCCCATCAACGAATTGCACGACGAGCACTACAAATTCCACAATAAAACAAAGTCAGGCTGCAAGTAATCAAGTCTACTCAAATGGTTACATCAACGAAGAAGCCTTTGAACCAGAGAAGTTCATAGCAAGCAAATTTGGTGACTCCTGTCGACAGTCACTGACTGCTATACCCATGCTAGACACGTTAAATCTCAATGACAACAGTGAGTTCAACTTAAAAAAACGTTACCTACGTGAAACGAGCAGTGGTAAGCACCAATAATTTCTTACTTCTTGAATTCCTTAAACTAGCAACTAAACTCCATTTTCACCACAGCAAATTCAAGTCCAAAAATATTTGCAAACCGTTTGCGTATGAATGCAGCAGTTAACACGAAAAATAATGTTTCAACAAGTTCCACAACATATACGAGCGGCGCAGAGGAAGAAGATACAGATCTTAAAGATGCTTCCTGGTTTCAAGCGGGTATCTCACGTGATATAGCAGAAGAAGTACTTTCAAGTAAGAGTCCAGGCGCTTTTTTAGTGCGCAAAAGTACATCAAAGCCAGGCTGTTATGCGTTAACACTGCGTGTACCTTCCCCACCTGGACCTAAGGTGGCCAATTATATCATTTTACGCACAACTCGAGGTTATAAAATAAAAGTAAGTTTAGCAATATCAAAAAATATAATTTTAAATTTTAATAATAAATAACATTTATAACAAAGGGTTTCCGTAAAGAGTTTACGTCACTGAAAACCCTCATCACACATCACTCGGTTATGCCTGAACTACTGCCTGTACCATTAGCAATGCCGAGACCCACAAATATGACGTCTTCACGTCGAAATTTGGATGATTTTGATACTTATGATTCACTGCAAATGCTCTTAAAATATTTACGCGCTAAAAACATGGAAAACGAATAAGAAAGAAGTATTATAGGGAATGCTAAAAAAAATTAAATTTAAATATAAAGTTACCTCAAGAAAAGCACAAATATAATATATATTTTAATACGAAGTAATACAAAGCTAGCAGTACACTGTAAAAAAATATATTCTTAAAAGACAAGAAATACATTTTTGATTATTAATGAAGGCATTGGAAGGCATTTTGTATCTGTAAGTAACATATATCTGCCATTGATGTCAATGCTATTTGATATTTGAGATTTAAACAAACAAATATCGTATCTAGTTATATTTAATGTATACACTGTAAACAATTTAGTATAAAACACTTAAAATGTGATATTATTAAGCTACTTTGTAACTAATCTTAATGTTGTTGTTTTTGAGTAATTGTTAAGATATTTAAATGTGAGACAAAAATTATAAGATTGTAAATAATTTAATAAAATTGTTTAGTTTGCATACAATAATTCTTTCTTTTAAGTAATTTACAAATTAATTTCTAGAAACTACCAGTAGCGACCAGTAACTACCAGGTCTACATCCTTGAGTCATTCGTCAGCTATAACGATCAAGCGTTACTTACCAATCTTAACAAAGACTATAACGAATCAACAAGAACGAATATAATCCTTTTAATGAAGACTACACACTTTTTGTTATTCTTAAAATGACAGTTGCGAATTACTTCTATTATTTTCATAAAGGATTTTTAATAAACCTAATTAATATAGAATACCTTTTTAATATACTTAATGAGCCTAATTCGTAATCCTATGAATGTAGACTCGGCATTTTGTAAGGAATTTACTACGTGATACAAAAACCAAAAAGAATACCAAATATACTTCCATAGTGAGCAATCGTAAAGAAGAGCAGAAGAAGAGCAAAAAGATCCCTCTCTTAGAATAATCCTGACTACAAAACTTCATATGCATTCAAACCCTTTTAAGAATTAAAAGTAATGCTTTTTTTACTATATCCATCATAATCATCCATAGTTATACAGTCCATGTAGAATCAAAGCATTTTTTACAACATTCCTGTATTCTTCTCTATTTTTGACCTTTATCTTCCAGTTGATGACATTCATATCTATCAGATATTGTCAAACGTTGTCACTCCTTTTTTTCTCTGTCATCCTTTTCATCTCGCTATTTTTACTTCACTCTCGATGATTTTTTACTGTATTAAATTTGGAAAGCTGAAAACTATGTGAGCAGAGCCAGTTATGAGTTACTGACATCTTTAAAAATGATATGGAAATATCTTATAAAAGTGACGTCAACACCGACAAAAGAAATGAAATATACCTATTTCATTTTCTTCATAAATAATATACTGAAAGACAGGCCCAATCTAACAGAATACTTTAATGTGGAACCAGTAAAGCGTTAGACATAAGTACAAAACAGAACTTTTAGAATTTTAGATAGTTTGGTTTATTTGTTCCCATTTTAAATTCATCCTTACTTTTAATGTGTTATTCAAACGCTTTATATAAAAATAGAAGTCATTATACTCAAGTTGTAGTATTTATAGTAAGTAGTGCTCCAAAGTTTCTCTGATATTCCAAATGATAGATTATTTTCACAGATTATGGCATTCAACATATATTCAAGAATGAAACTGGAACTTTGTAAATCTAACTACAGCAAGTATATTTGAATCACAAATACCTCTAGTATGCTTCATAACCCTTAGGTTCTCAAGTAGGAACAATAGAACAATTGTAACTGCCATGTAATCAGCCGTTTTTTTAAAGACACAGTTAAAAATTATCCACAACATTTCTTAACTGCATATATATACTTGTATATATATTATCCACATCGTATTCTTAACAGCAGAATAAACTATACTCAAAATGTACTTATCGATCCTTACCATTTCATCCGTACTGCTTTACGGACCTCTGTATTAGTTTCCCACTTATTTCCAGACATTCAACATAACTTGTTGCACTATTTGCAAGTGACGATTGAAGGTCTAAGTATGCAGTACAAGGATTTATAATTTATTCATACTTCTTTAAAATAAAGTCTATTAGTACTAAAACAATACTTAACTCTTTTTTCTTTTGAATCTTCCTTTTCCAAGATATTTGCGATCAACGAAGCTGCTTAGTACCTAGACGAATTGATGTCAATGTAGGAAGTCAGCATTAGATATTTGAAGTATATCTATTGAAATTTACGTCTACTGTTATCTTAGTTTGCACTGAATACATTATATATACATATATAATATATATACATGTAAGCCGGTTAAGCAGTCAAGTGACAGTCTGTCAAGCAGTCAAGTAGTCAAGCAGTACCAGTAGTTAAGTCAGCAGTCAGATTTTAGTCGGTTAAGCAGTTAAATAGAAGTCGTTTAAGGAGGCCAGTAGTAGTAGTAGCAGATGTCAGTCGGGAATATATTTAAAAACTATCTAAAATTATGCTATTCTTAAAGCGTGTAACTCCTTAGAATTAAGCTCTTCTGGTAATTAAATCGAAAGTCAAAATTTAATTCATTATTTTAATTCACATGCCAACTGTTACAATCATATTAACGTCACTTTGTAAACTTTTTTTTTCATCTATCACTAAAATAAAAAATTTACCATTACCCTGAAGAAAAGTATAATCATACTTTCGCTAACTTTATAAACACAAGGAGTTTTATGAATTTAAAGTATCTTTATTAGCAATTTTTATTTGAAGTCCTAGAATTTCAGCTGCAGCCAATGTGTAAACAATTTTCATAATTCATTGTCTCGAATCAAAGCAAGTATCTCAAAATAATTCTTTTGTTTAAAATGCGACAAAAATTTTGCAAATGAAAATAAATTCATACTCTACCCAAGCGTTTCTCCCCCGCCGAGCTATGTTTCATGAGTTGCATGCCACTCCAGCTTCAAACGTTCCACAGCATATCACTTTCCCTTCAGTTCGGAACTCTGCTCATTACGAAAATTGCGTTCTTTCAATGTTCAATTAAAAAACTTTTAACAAAAGAAATGAAAAAGAAAGTCACTCCAAAGTAAAAAATTATCAAAAATTATACGTACGTTTCACTTCCCGCCCCCTCACTTGTGCTTGCAGGATAAAAAAATAAGTTGAAACCACTTAGAAATTATAATGCTACTATATCAGTCACAGATTGCTGCTAGGTGTGGGAGTAATAAGCTCTTCCATTTGGAAAATATGTGTACCTATTCGCATTCGCATTCGCATCCACATTCATAGCATTGCTTCCTTCCCCCGTAACAAATCGTTGTTTTGGCATAATTGATTTCCAGCATTTGTGCAGATGTTTTTGCTGAAATGTTTATTTTCTTTTTAAATATTTAATGAGAGTTTGACAAGTGAATTTCTGGTGTCTGTTGACAAACTTTAAAGAGGGTAAAGTGCCAATCGTCGCTTTGTAGTTGTCGAGAAACTTTTTATTCGTTTCATATTATTAACAAACACTTATGAATATTTAAGTAGCCAATTTTTTCATTTCTGAAAAGTTTTGGATGCTTTTCTTATTTTTGGCAAATAAAAAAAAATTTCTAATTATTTAAATGACATTTCTCCCGCACCGCTTTTGTGCTCAAAAAGTATTCATGTGTATCGAGCCTGATAATTGCGACCTAAAACTTTTCTACTTCAATGAAAAAGTAATAAAATAAAATACAAAAAGTGAAAACAAGTACATCATGCTTATATTGAAAATAGTCAGTATTAAAGTTAGACTAGGTAGACAGATATGTTTGGTATTGCGGACATCAACAAAAACCCTACACTTTCATATATAATCGCTTCATTAGTTTTGACAAAGACATTGTTAAATTCTTTAATGAAACCGATAACCGGTATGCTAAAATGAGGACCGCTTAAACTAGGTTATTAATATTATCCTGCAGGATCTACTTAGACCTGCCAGACTAAGTTGGCCATGTTGCTAAAGGTTCAAAAATCAATTAAAATGCATAATAAAGTCGAAACTGTTTTTTTGGAGGAAAGTTTTATAACTGACTATAATCCTTTACAAAATAACTCCCTGGTATGTTTAATCTACTCATATTATGTACTAGACAATAACTAGATGAATGCAAAATACTTTCTTAGATTTCTGCTCAGCTGCGGTATTAGACATTAAAATGAATGCAGTCAATCTCCTAAAATAGTTCTTTTAACGCCAGTAACTTGTCAGCAAATCCATTATGTAATTGATATATCTACAGAAAATATAACACAGTAGAGATCAATATGCTGAATATTTAGAAAACTAAATAATCAAAGTCAGTGTTTCCCGACACTTTTGTAGTGCGCATGAACTTATAAGATTTAAAGAAATTCCAAGGTGAACCGATCAGTCAAATATCTAACGTATTTTGAACGACTAAAGATGAACTGCATTCATCGCTTCTCTTGATATGCTTGTGCACTTCTGTATTATTGCAAGATCATGAATGAAGATATATCTGGGTCAGTTGTACCAAATTTTTAACAATGTGAGTTTACGTGTAATCTTGTATCACCAATATTAACAAATAAATTATTCTCTGTGGAACGTACACTCTACCTTGAGAAACTTTGATCTAGCTTATACAAAAGTTCAGTAGTGTCTGGTAAAGCGGTGACGGTGCTATAAATGTAAGATTGTGCTTTATTTTAGTTATCTGTAAAATACTCATTCTGAACCAGAACATTTACGATTGTGAAGTTGAATAAGGGGAAATATTAAACTTTATGAAGACAAAAAGAGTTTAGAATTGAGGGTGTTGGACATTCTATGTATATAGAACCAAATCAAAGAGTAATATCTTGAATTAAAAGAAATCAGAAGTAAGATCATGATATCAGTTTAAAAATGGACAGTTTAGAATTATATTTTCATATAAATATTTAAATATAATTTTCTTAAATAGAGTCTGCAAATTATATATCAAATATTATGCATACTCTTTAAGTTATAAGTATTATTATTTATTGCAGGAATGGACTCAAAGTACAATATAAAACAATTCGATTTTTATTAGAGGAAAAAAATATACATTAGAAGATTAATCTGGAGAATATATTGAATGATACTGATATCTTAATATAATATAAAGAGTATTACTCTAGCAATTGTAGATCAAAGAATAAGAAAGAGATTTATTTTTTTGCAAATGCTGTCCTTCTACACTTATTTTTATATACTCATTATATTTTCCTTAATTTTTTTTTTGAAGTTGTATATAATTATTGATCTGATTGTATGATCTCTACTCAACTTTCGATGAGGTAAGACATATGGTCATAATTGATTCCATAAACGAGTCCTTAATGTTTCCATATGACACTGAACTATGTGTTTTAAATGACATATCGCTTAATAACCGCACTTTTAATATCAGAGATAATATTCCTTTCAAATAGAAAATTTAAAATAGCTATTCTTCTACTTTTACTGCAACCAATATAAAATCAACAAACTAAAGAAATTTTCAACTTGCACTTATTCCCTTTCATTTCCCTCTACTGCATATAACGAAAAAAGTTTTCATCCAAATTAAAATAAAAATTAGACGAATTTCCTCTGAAGTTTTCAAGAAGCAGAGAAGGAGAATGGAAAGAAATTGGTATTAAATTAGACAAGTTACAGAGTTAAAAGTGTTCAAAATTACCGCAATTAAAAAAGGATTGCGTCGGAAATTGGTGACCAAAAGATACAAATTAAATTTTCTTTCTTTGATTCAACGACTTTTATACATTCTTAGCGTTTTTTTTTTTATTTTAATTTTTCCTTAAGAATTTTCATGTACAACTGTCCAGAAAATTAAAATTGGATAATGACAATGATTTAGCAAAAGTTGAGAGTAGAATTCACAGACCAAGACCAGCAAGGACCAACAGGACAAAAGAAACCTAGAAACATTAAACTTGGCGTTAAAAAATTTCATTTCAATTTGTTTTGAAGAAAGAAAAAAATATAAGGAACCAGAAAGCAGACAGCGGAAAATGGATTCGCCCAAGCAATCACTTTAAACTTAAAGGACTCAACTCATTTTTACTAATGTATGTAGTGTTTCAAATATATTAGCGGTGACATATTATGTTTTAAACTAATCTTTATATAAAATAAGACTATTTATATCATATTTTTTCATATAATAAAACATAAATCAATATAAATGATATTTATGATATTGACAATTAAAAAATTGATGTACCTTAAAAATCGAAGTTATGTACTTTTCTCTTTTATTCATCAAAATATCTTCATCGCGTTTGATCTTCCAACCTTTTTTTTTTATTCAAAAGTCTTAGCCTTTAAAATTTGTTGTGGTTAGTCAAATTGTCTCCTTGCCCCTAGACATCATAATTTGCCTGCTTCATTTGTCCTATTACTTAACTTTTATTGTCTAATATGTCTTTCTCACATCTTCTAGAAACTGATCTTCAAGTATTACAAAATATCCATTCTCAGTGGTTTTGGAATTATTTCTTATGTTTTAATATTCGTTAATAATTGTTTGAGACTACAAATATCAAGGGTTGAACTCGCGCCCCGCCGAAATTGAAGTTCAGAGTCAGTGTTAACTAAATGAGGCATAACCGTACATTTTATGTTCGAACTTAGAGTTTTGTTAATTTATTGTGAAATTTCATTAACAAATTCACTTACTGTGTTATATTAGAACGAAATCGTAAACTAGCTGTAAAATACTTAAATTATTTAATTATATATATATTTTAAAATCAAAATTTCATCGGCGCTACCAATACATGTGAGCTTTTGTGATATGACAATTTCTAGAATTTCGGTAATGGGTAATTAAAACATACAGAAATGATTTAAAACACCAGAAATAGTTTCTTATATGCAACTACAAATTTATTAGCATTACATAGGCAAGTATATAAAAAATAAATGGACTTTGAATATACAAAAATAAGTTTTAGTCTCACAAGATTTTACAAATTTTTTGGATTTTTAGGCACTAATTTTTAGATTTTTCATTTTATCAATTTCTTACATACTGTAAAAATAATTTCAACCTCAAATTATAATCATGAATTCCAAAAATTCTATAATCAGATTGATACCACAGCATGCTACAAGTAGCACTACATCCTTTCTTCTTCTATGTATTTCAGACTTATAGATGCATTGCCAAGATAAGAGCTGTTTCTGCTGAGCACCGACGATTCACCTCAACACCTAATGAACTACTGAATCCTCTTACCTTATAGAACAATTTTATATCGGCGGAACGACAACAGAATTTGTCCAGAAAGGCTACAGAACCATTACTGCGATAATAAATATAGGCTTCAAAAAGTTCCGGCTCAACAGCTGGTGTCATCACAAACACCAACTCGTCTGCCAGTTGCTCATAGTGTCTACGCCTGATATTTATACCAAGATTGGTGGTATAGAATAAATGTTCCGCTTCATTTGGTGTTAATAAATCTATCTGCTCAAAATTCATATTGCTATTAGACTATAATGCGTGTCAGTGCTTGATTAAGTCCAAAGATAAATTTCGGATGCGTTTCTTCTGGAATAATGAAAGAGAAAAGAATTTTATTTAGTATTGTGAAGAAATAATAAGTTTTTTATTTTTTGCTAAGATTTCTATATATATAAATTTTACTTTCCGAAGGTATACATATTTACTCTTAACATTCTATTAATTTGTTAGTACTGAATATATATCATATCTAGTAAATAATGTATGCTTGGTTTGTCACAGATCGATTAAAACTTGCCTCAAAAAAAAAAACAAAAACTGTATTGAAAGAAATAATCTTCTTTCAAGACAACGAAAATTTCATTAGAGTTCTGTTTTTTGGTTTTTCTGGTGACTTCCAGCCGCACTCTGATGTTTTGATTCCTGCCTCTTTTGGTAATGCTGCATGTTATCACCAGTTACAATGGCTGATGTATTTGACTTTAACAGAACTCATTTGGAATAGTTTCAGCATATCAATATATTACTGAACGGTTTAATATTTCTCATCGTCAGTCAAACTGTAGAAAAAAATACGAGCATAACATTTTCGTGTGGTCAAATCTTCGTTCCAAATGTCATGACCTGTTCTTTTTGATATTTCAGATTTTTATTTGATGAATCCCGCAAATACCTGAAAGTTTTTTGAAGAACTTTATGGACTTTCTTAATGCTTTGTTCATTGAAAGTGATATGCTCAATCATCGCATTCAAGATTTTAACAGCCGTCATTCATAGTCGTATGCATTTGTTAGCATTCGTTTCATTTCATTTTATCCAAATAAAATCGAGTTGTTCACACTTCGTTTGTGCCAAGTTATTTTTTACTACTTTTAGAAAATAACATTACTAAGTCAAAACAGTGTGCCAACCAAATCCGTAACACTAACATTAAGAAGATAGTCAGTGAATACTATTATTCAACTATCAACAACTCATTGATATCACTGCATCACATATTTTTATGAAGTTACTTTCATAGGATAAGAAACAGTAAATTTGAGACTATACTTCTTCTTTTACTTGAATTAAAATGATTAATATTATTATGTACGGCCACCTGACCGCCACTCAGGTGATCTATTGTACATTAAGACTGAAAAGTTTTCGGAAATTCTCATTTAAAATTCGCGCGCTGTATATTTTTCGATATTTTAAGTTTATGTAGTTTGGCAGCACTGTCCTTAATTACTATGCCAAAAATGAGCGCGATCTGTCAGACAGTTCGTTTACGGCAGCTGTTGAAACCAGTTCCCCTCAGTAGTGCGTTGCGAAATGTCTTCGACGGTCGTACGACCGTCCTGAAAGGCTTTGTACCACTCATAAACTTGAGTTTTCGATAAAACTGATTCCCCATAAGCCTTTTGTAGCATTCGCAACGATTCTGCACACGAAATTTCGTTCGAAACACAAAATTTGATGCAAACTCTTTGTCCAATATTTTTTTCCATTGTTTTTTTCGCAACGCACTACTGAGGTGAACTGGTTTCAACAGCTGCCGTAAACGAACTGTCTGA